CATGTTCAAGAATCTATATTCATTGTTATCCTCAAAACTTAAGACCAAAGAAACCCATTAGGATGCATCAATTGATTGATTGATTGGAGACAGGGTTTTGCTCTTGTTGCCCAGGCTGGAGTGCAACGGCACGATCTTGGCTCACTGCAACCTCTGCCTCCCGGGTTCAAGCAATTCTCGTGCCTCAGACTCCAGAGTAGCTGGGATTACAGGCGCCTGACATCAGGCCTGGCTAGCTTTGTTGTTGTTGTTGTTGTTGTTGTTGTTGTTTGAGACAGAGCCTTACTTGCTCTGTCACCAGGCTGAAGCGCAGTGGCGTGATCTCGGCTCACTGCAACCTCTGCCTCCAGGGTTCAAGTGATTCTCCTTCCTCAGCTTCCTGAGTAGCTGGAACTACAGGTGTGCACCACCACTCCCAGCTAATTTTTGTATTTTTAGTAGAGATGGGATTTTACCATGTTGGCCAGGACGGCCTCGATCTCTTGACCTCGTGATCTGCCCGCCTTGGCTTCCCAAAGTGCTGGGATTACAGGCATGAGCCATCATGCCTCGCCAATTTTTGTATTTTTAGTAGAGACAAGGTTTCACCATGCTGAGCAGGCTGGTCGTGAACTCCTGACCTCAGGTGATCCGCCCGCCTCGGCCTCCCAAAGTGCTGGGGTTACAGGTGTGAACCACCGCACCAGGCTAATGCATCGTTTTAGAAAGGATAAGAACCTTGCAAAGGCATTTTAATTTAATAAGTGCTTGTGAGACTTAAAAAATCATGAAAGGAGGCCAGGCACAACGGCTCATGCCTGTAATCCCAGCACTTTAGGAGGCTGAGGCTAGAGGGTCACTTGAGCCCAGGAGTTCGGGACCAGCCTGGGCAACATAGCAAGACCCCGCCTCTCCAAAAAAAAAAATGATGAGAGGGAAAAGGTGAGAGCTACCAAGGCCATCCAAAGAAATTCCAAACAAACCCCGCCAGCATTGTTAGGGAGTCTAATCATCATATCACCCGAGCAAGGGTGAAAAGGTTGAAATTTACCATGGCAGGGTTGGATGCAGCGGCTCACCCCTGTAATCCCAGCACTTTGGGAGGCAGAGGTGGGTTGATCACCAAGTCAGGAGATCGAGGCCATCCTGGCTAACACGGTGAAACCCCATCTCTACTAAAAATACAAAAAATAAAAAATTAGCTGGGCATGGTGGTGGGTGCCTATAGTCCCAGCTACTCAGCAGGCTGAGGCAGGAGAATGGCGTGAACCTGGGAGGCGGAGCTTGCAGTAAGCCAAGACTGCGCCACCACTGCACTCCAGCCTGGGGGACAGGGCGAAACTCTGTCTCAAAAAAAAAAAAAAAAAAAAAATTACCATGGGGGTAAGTAACATGTGAGACAAGACGGTGGTCTTTAAATGTGTGTGAGTCGCTTCGTATGAGGAAGTAGACAGTACGGTTCTATGTGGCTCAGAAGGAGAGCAGAGCCTGCAGTGGAGGTCCAGCAAGGTGGAGCCACCACCAACCAGAACAGTCCTTTGGGGTCTCCTTTTGAGGGAAGCGGGAAGGGGAATGGGGATGTCTGCTTGTTAGCAGCTTATTAACCAGGAGAGGCCATTGGACCTCTAGGGTTTCTTGCCATTTCCCTTCTGAGATAACATTTTACAAAGCTTAATGCGGTTCTTCTCCACTAAAACTGTCATAATGGCTATATCCAAAGATAGGTCCTATTTTATGACCTCCGGGAAGAGGAAAACATCTAAATTTGGTTCACAGTTCACAGAAAAAAAGAGATAAGGGTCCATCTGCTGGTTCCCCAACCCAGTGGGAGAATGAAATGCATTAAGTTCTCCACCAAGATGACCTCACAAAACTATGGCTTCAACTGGGTCCTTTCTTTTTTCTTTCTTTTTTTTTTTTTTTTAAGACAGGGTCTCACTCTGCCGCCCAGGCTGGAGTGCAGTGGTGCAACCATAGCTCAGTGTTAACCTCAAATTCCTGGGCTCAAGTGACCCTCCCACCTCAGCCTCCCAAGTAGCTGCACCTAATGCCCAGCTAATTTTTTAATACATTTTTTGTAGAGATGGGATCTTACTGTGTTACCCAGGCTGGTCTCAAATACCTGGGCTCAAGTGATCCTGCTGCCTTGGCCTCCTGAAGTGCTGGGATTACAGGCATGAACCAGTGCACCTGGCCCACTGGGTCCATTAGTAAATGCCTGTGAAGGGCAGGCTCTGTGCTAAGTGCTGGGCACATGGCAGGCAGTGCAGGGGATATATTCCCCAAGACACGGAGCACACAGTCTACTGTTTCTGCCTTCCTCGACTCAGCAACAATGCACAAGGCTCCACAACAAACCCCACTCCATCACACTGCTGAAAACAAGGGGTGAGTCAGCCCCCAGGGGATTGAGGAGGGAAGGAAAGAAATACCATGGCTATAAATCAACAGCTCGGCTGGGCACGGCGGCTCACGCCTATAATCCTAGCACTTCGGGAAGTCGAGGCAGGGGGATCATTTGCGGTTAGGAGTTCAAGACCAGCCTGACCAACATGGTGAAACCGTCTCTACTAAAAATACAAAAATTAGCTGGACATGGTGGTGGGTGCCTGTCATCCCTGCTACTTGGGAGGCTGAGGCAGGAGAATGGCTTGAACCCGGGAGGTGGAGGTTGCAGTGAGCCGAGATTGCACCACTACACTCCAGCCTGGGTGACAGAATAAGAGTCCGTCTCAAAAAAATAAATAAATATCAATCAATCAATCAACAGCTCCTCCAGAGTCTTTGAAATTTCTTGTTTTTTCAAAAGTTGTCCTAAGTCCCAACTCAAGTCACCGCACACAAGCATGCAGATGTACACTTTGCACTTTAGTCATTGTTTAATTGGTCCTAGGTAATTCCTGAGTCGAGAGCTGGGCGCTCCAGTTTCAGGCACTGAGACAGCCTGGGGTGATGGGTTGTCTACCATCAGCTATCATCATTGACTGAGTTGGTTCCACTACAACTGCGTGTTAGAATCCAGCGCAAGGCGTGCCCTCCCCAGGTGACGGGCTGCACTTCTTTCATAAAAGGACACGGTGGCCAACTCCGGGACAGCTGAATTCAATTTGGACAGAGACCGACTGGGCCTTCCACTTTTGCATAATTTGGCAAAATAAATGAATATCGCCCCAACCCCTTGGCACGGAGACAGCGACACATAATTACTGAACTGGGAGAGGCTCCCTAAGAGATGCAGGACTTGGGCCTCATGAATGTGAATGAGGCCATTCTTGCATGGCTATAAAGACGGAGACTAGGTAATTTATAAATAAAAAGGTTGTAATTGGCTCTACAGGCTGTGCAGGAAGCATCATGCTGGCATCTGCTTGGTTTCTGGGGATGCCTCAGGAAACTTATGAACACAGCGAAAGGTACAGAGGAAGCAGTCACGTCCTACGTTGCAGGAACTGGAGCAAGAGAGAGAATGAGGGGAGGTGCCATCCCCCCCTTTTTTTTTTTTTTTTTGAAATGGAGTCTCGATCTGTCACCCAGGCTGGAGTGCAGTGGCACGATCTCGGCTCACTGCAACCTCCGCCTCCTGAGTTCATGCCATTCTCCTGCCTTAGCCTCCCGAGTAGCTGGGACTACAGGCGCCCACCACCACGCTGGCTAATTTTTTTGTATTTTCAGTAGAGACAGGGTTTCACCGTGTTAGCCAAGATGGTCTCGATCTCCTGATCTCATGATCCTCCTGCCTTGGCCTCCCAAAGTGCTAGGATTACAGGCCTGAGCCACCGTGCCCGGCCTGCCACACGCTTTTAAACAACCAGATCTCATGAGAACTCACTATCTCGAGGACAGTGCCAAGAGAGATGGCACTAAACCATGCATGAGAAATTTGCCCTCATGATCCAATCACCTCCCATCTCCGACACTGGAGATTACAATTCCACAGGAGATTTGGTGGGGACACAGATCCAAACCATATCAGAACCCAAGGTAGGTGAGGGTGGAACGGAACCAACCTCTATGCTCTTTGGGCTTGGTGCTCAGCTCCCACTGGCCCCATGAAGGGCCAAAACTAACAGCTGTGCACCGAGGACATCTGTGCCTCTGTGGGAGGAAAGACTGGGCAAATCCTCCTGGATCCAGGGATGGCCTGGCGGGCCACAGTGAGCCCTCTGTTCAAGAGCCACTAGTGTCTGTCCCCACCTACCCACGACACCTGCCGTCTCTGGCTGGGGCCCAAGGCACTCTGCAATCTGGAGCTGCTCGAAGCTGCCCACGCAGTTCTGCAGGGAGCAAGGACAGAGGGGACATGGCCACCGGGCAAAGCAACCTCACAGAAGCACTCGGTGTTGGTGTCTTCAAGAAAGAACTTCTGCCCTCATCAGGCCGCTTTTCCCTCCCTCTCCCTCTCACACACACCCTGCACCTTTGCTGAGGCTTTCTTCACTTCCCCCACACTACCCACCGCCTTCTGGGCTGTGGCCAACCCAAAACCTGCCCCTCAATGCGGAGAAATCAGAAGACTGTTATTGTGTTCCACTGTTTTCTACAGGTCGTTTGTGGTCTTCTGAAATCCTCCCTTATCTGGTTGATACATATTTAACAATATTTCATTAGTATTATTATCGTCACTAGTATAATTTAGAGACAGAGTCTCGCTCTGTCACCCAGGCTAGGGTGCAGTGGCACAATCTTGGCTCACCGCAGCCTTGAGCTCCTGGACTCAAGCTACCCTCCCACCTCAGCCCGCCAAAGCGCTGGGATTGAAGGTGTGAGCCAGCGAATCCAGCTTGAGAAAGTCTTTCAACAAAGCAAGAATCATATAAAAGCTTTGTTTTTTGAGAAAAAGAGGGGGGAAAGAGAGAGAGAGAGAGAGATCTGCTTTGAGACGCTAAATTCTTTATCAAGTCCAGATCCAATTGTGCAGCATGAGGCTCTGCACGTGGGTGACTACCTGGACACAGACACTTGATATCATGGATTAAAGACTCTTGACTCTCAGAAACCCCTTTCCATGTCTCCATCCATACCTTTCTGACACTCCTCGTGGAAAGCATAGGCTCATGTGCTGATGGTCGAAGCCTTCGTCTCAACCTGGAAGGTGGGGTGGGTGCGGAGGGCTTCCCTCCTCCCTCTGCAAGGCGCACATGGAAAGATGGGTGAGGGCATTCGGGGATGGGCTCCAGAGGCCCACAGGATCCTGCATATCAGGCGCTTCTGCTCACTCTCACCTACTCATTCACCCTTTACTTTATTCCTGACTTCCTCATTTCTTTGTTTCATCCAGATTTTTCTGTTTAAGGCCTTTAAAACACATCTTCTGGTTTCCTTATGGTTCTGGTTTCCTTATGGTTACTCCACAGGGAGTAAGCGCCGCCCACGCCACCCTGCCCTGCCCACTGAACGTGGCTAAAAGGCTAGACAGGCACACAGAGGAGCTACTGACGCCTCTGAGAATTGACCAGCAGCAGGCAGAAGGGGGTTGAAGACCAGAATTTGAAGTGCCACCAAGGTTGCGGTGAGTCTACCATGTCCCTGACCCTGGTATCACCAGCCTGGACTAAATACAACCCGATACCCAGAAGCGAGCAAGAGGCTGCCTGGGGGCTCCAGGATAAGCCTCTAACAACAGGAAAGGGGTCACCTGGTTCTGAGACAGTGGGCCAGATCCCTGGCTTTCTTCCTTTCTCCCTGTCTCTCTGGTGCCCTGGTCCCCAGGAAATTCCACAGCGGCAGTGGTGGCAACAGTGACAGCGCCAGCAGAGGGGTCAGCCGGCAGGTGTCTGAAGCTCTGAGGGAGGGAACCTTCCTTCCCAGCTGGAGGAGCGGTGGTCCAAAGCCGGTGACAAACCTGCTGGCCTTCTTCTCTGTGTCCTCTTCTTGCCTGGCCACAAAAGTAAGCTCGGTCACGGGAGAAGTGTGGCACAGCTGATAGCTGAAGCCCTGCCTCCTGGCTGAAGGGCTGAAGTCAGGAGGCCCAGGAAACGGGAAAGTGCTCGGGAGATTGCAGAGAGGGAGGAGCTGGGGAAAACAACCCCATCAAGTTGTTACGAGTTCCTGGGCTCAGCCCTGAGCGAGGCATAAGTAAACAGAGCCCTCGAGCACAGACTCTGAGCACTGAAGGTCAGGACGGAGCATGCCCAGGGCCCACGCAGGCCATGGAGTGCTACACAGTGGACAGATCTGAAGAGTGGGCAAAGGCTTGGAAAACGGCACCAAAACTCACAGCAGAATGGTAGGGACTGAGAACCTGAGCCCAAGCTGGTAGAGTGCCTGCTAAAACCAAGGCACCAACAACTTTCCAGAGGCCTGAATCAAGAACCATAGTGTCCTAACGTAATTTTCAGGACCAATCCAGAATGTTCAGGACCAATCCAGAATGTTCAGGACCAATCAAGAACCATTCAGCATACAAAGAAGTTGAATATCCTCAACTCACATGGGAAAAGATGATCAACAGCTCATCTGAGCTAACAGAGACATTGGAATTAGCTGACAGACTCCACAGCAGCTATAATAAAAAACCTCACTGGGTGCAGTGGCTCACGCCTGTAATCCCAGCACTTTCGGAGGCTGAGGCAGGCGGATCATGAGGTCAGGAAATCGAGACCATCCTAACACGGTGAAACCCCGTCTCTACTAAAAATACAAAAACTTAGCTGGGCGTGGTGGCGGGCTCCTGTAGTCCCAGCTGCTGGGGAGGCTGAGGCAGGAGAATGACTAAGACTTCACACCAGACAGCCGCCCCAAAGTTGAAA